GGGGGGAGTCCCTCCTCCCATTCTTTAGAACAGAAAGAAAGGGCTTCTCTTAGAGCTCTGTCAATGCCTGGTGCACAATTCTGGGATTCAGGCTTCCTTTTGAATCCAGTCTGTGACATACAGGAGGAAGATAAAATCCAGGAAACTCACAGCTAGATTGGTTGTACTTTGAGTTTGTTCTCTTTCTGCAATCTACCCATTACCTTTTACTTTCCAGAGACCTCTGACAGCAGCTCCATGCATTCTGTCTACAGTTTTTGGTTGCATTCACCGGGAGATACATGGCAGATGTGCTTACTCCATTTAGCCAAATTTTAAAGTTCATCTTGACCAGTTTTAATTTTTCTTTTTTATTATTGTTTTATAGATGTTCTTTTTATAGTCTGCATACAAGTCCTTTATCAGATGTTTAGGTATTGCCCATATTTTATGCCAGTTGAGGACTCGACTTTATTTGACAAAGTCCATTTTATTAACTCTGGCTGTTATAACTAGTGCTTTTTTGTGTCCTGTCAAAGAGATCTTATCCTTCGTTCATGAAGATTCTCTCCTATGTCTTCTTCTAGAAGATGTAAAATTTCAGCTTTTGTATTTAGATCTATGATTCATCTAGAATTAATTGCATTTTTCTGACCATGAAAACTGTGTATTTCTCTATTTAGATTTTCTTTAATTTCTCTCTGCAATAGTTTGTAGTTTTCAGTGTGTACAGGTCTTACACATCTTTTATTGCATTTCTTTCTAGGCATTTTATGTTTTTATGGTATTCTAGGTGATATCTTTATTCATCACCAGTAAATTGAAATACAATAGATTTGACCTTGATATTCCTTTTTATACACATAACCAAATATATTTAGTTTATATGTATCTGATAATTCTAATATCTTATGCCTTTGTGCAACCAATTTTGCTAGTAGTACCTTTTACCTTAGTTATTTTGTGATTTTTTACTATGAGCTCACATTTAATTGGACTTTATCTGTGGGGATTCTCTGAGGCCAAGGTTGAATGTGGATTTCTCTAGGTTTCTTGATTGCTTCTCCCAGGTACCTGGGAGCATACCAGCCCAGGATTATTTAAAAGTAAATTTTCAGTTTCTGTGTAAAATAAGTAGTACACTTGGGGTATGAATTCAGATCATAAACTTGCATAAGGGATAACTTTTGATAATAAAATCTTAGCCCCAAGGTTAAAAGTTGCAAGATTCCCTGTTTTCTGTCCCTCCTTTCCATCTCATTTTCCATGCCCTCTTAAGCCCCAAACCTCTGAGCCTTTCCTCACCTTGTATCTTTCTCCTTGAATACCTAGTGATATGCTGAAGATGAGCCCATGCCAGCCCTCCAGATGGATGTCTGGGAAATATGGATTACCTTTTCTAAAAACCACTTACCTCCGCCTTTTCTGCACCTAGCCCTGGGCTTGGAAGTAAAAATACAGGTGTGCAAAATGCACGTGGACTGTCTTAATGACACTCAGTTTGGGAGGAGGAAATAGTGACTTAATACTTATTAAGCCCTTGTCTTGTGTCAGCCACCATCTTGATGCTTTCACATATGTCACCTAATCCCAGGGATTACCTGGCAGAGCAGGGTTTTCATCAGTATTTGTGGATGAGGAAATCCAGGCCACAGGGGCTGCAGGTGACAAATGCGACATTAGGATTTGAGCCCGTGTGGGATTCTTCCTTTAAAGAGGAGGCAGGGTGACTGCCACTGCATCCTGGTGATCTGTCGTCACCTCACTCTCTCCTAGAGGCTGTGCACCCCCGTGTACTGCAAGTACAAGTTCTTTAAGACTCCAGTTCACAAGACGGAGGGGAAGCCCCATGGAGTACACATCTACTTCCAGGACATCAATGTCATCTTTCTTGGGCCAATGCAGCCCAGTGACCTGAGGGAATACCTGGAGGGGCCCCCCATGGTTGTGGAGGTTCACGACAGGGACCGCAAGTTAGAAGAGTATTCCTGGAAGCCCACCCTATTTGGGGATGACCCCTTGGATTCACACCTCAACCTCCAGGCCCTCATCTCTCCGGAAGAGACAGAGAACAACCCCTTTGAATCCCAAAACAAGATATGGGACCCTTATGGGGTTGCCAAGGTCAGTTTTGCCGACCTTCTCCTTGGCCACAAGTACTTGAACTTGGTGGTCCCCATCCACAGGTGTGAGCCCAAGCCCACACACCATGGCCGGGATGGCAGGAGCAGGAAGGTTGTGGGGTTTCGGGTCCCCACGGATGGCTTTCAGCACAGCTCAGTGCCCATGGGCAACTACCTTGAAGCCAACTCCCAGCTCAAGCTGCGGGTGGACATTGCAGTGCCACTGCGGGCCAGCGCCGAAGCCCCTGACCCTGAACTTACAGGCACCCTGTTTGGCCGCATCATTTTCGTGTTTGACTCCAGAAAGATCTCCCTCCTCTCCAGCCTGCTGCAGGACATCTCCATGATCAATGCCAAGGCCCTTGATCTGGACGCCTACTCTGCTGGGAACATCCAGCAGATTCTGTCTGCCTTTAAGATGCACATGAGGATCCAGGAAAGGCAGGACCTGGATGTGCTCACTGGCTTCCACCTGCTGGATGGGAAGATCCATCTTCTCATTCTGGAAGGTTTGGCTGACCAAGGTTTAAAGCGGCTGTGGGACAGCCATCAAAGCCGGTGAGTGCGTGGTTTTGTGTTTCATGTAAAAGTCATCATGTCTGGATGCTGAGTGAGTGGGGAAATCTTTTGAAGCCAGGATCAGGTTCAGTATGTTCATCTGTGAGGAGGATATGCTGATTCAGCTCCTCTTGGGGTTTATTGTAAAGCACTTTACAGGGCTCTGTACTTGGCCTTGATCACAGAAGCAGTTGCTTGCCTTTGGATGAAGAGACGACTTTAGGGGCATCTAGAAGAGAGGGTGGTTGAGGAAAATGGGTCTGCCTTCACACTTCTGAGGGGCCTACTTGGCTAACAAGGAGAAGAATGTTCTATATGGCCGTAAGATGGACACTACAGGGAAATAGATTTCAACTCACCCCAAGGAAGGCCTTTCTGATTTTTTTGGGGCTGGGAAAGCTGCCTCAGGTGCAGAGGGTTTCCCTTCCCTGATGGCCTCCAGGAGCACCTGATGACTGCTCAGTGGGGATATTGGAGAGGCAATTCAAGTGTCTGATTCGGGGCTAGAGCAGGTGGCCCCTTATGGTCCTTCCATTCTTTAGTTTTGGTTTCCTGACAATTCTCTTTTCCTTTCATTATATACATGTATCCTAGTTCGGGTTAAAAGGACCTCCCTGTTTTAGTCTGGGAACACTCTCTCTCTGTCTTTGGAATTCAGTTGCCCCAGGACCCAGATGATGACAATAGCAGGTAGTCCTGAGGTTGAGTGCATCCACCCAGGAGGGAAGAGCGGCCCTGCGGGGACCTGTCTTGATGTGCTAGTGGGCCAAGAAGCACTGTGGAGAAGCTGGCAATATGTCTAGTTACCTGCCCAAGAGAACTGAAAACATAAGTCCATGCAAAAACTTGTACAGGAATGTTCACAGCATCATTATTTATAATAGTCACAAAGCGGAAACAAGCCAGTGTGCTGCAACCAATGAACAAGATGTGATATATCCATACACATGAATAATGTTCAGCCATGAAAAAGGAATGAAGTACTGATCCACGTACTTCAACATGGATGAAGCTTGAAAACATACCAAGTAAAAGAAGCTGGGAATAAAAGGCCACATGTTGAATGATTCTGTTTATGCGAAATGTCTAGAATAGTCAAATCCACAGAGACAGAAGATTAGTGGTTCCCAAGGTCTCAGGGGAAGGATGAGGGAGAAGTGGGGAGTGACCGATAATGGGTACAGTTTCTTTTTGGGGTGGTGAAAATTTTCTAGAATTAATGTTTGCGATCGCACAACATTGTTAATATACTCAAAACCATTGAATTGTTACAATTAAAAAGGGCAGACTTACAGTGTGCGGTGAAGAATCTGGCCTTGCCTAAAAGGTCTGGCCTTTGCCCTTCCTTGGCTTCTGGGAGGTGACATATGTCATACCGTATATAAGTGCCTTTGTTTAGGATGGGGGCTGACTGCACTAGATCTTAGAATGGGACCAGCCTCACCTGATAATCATAGGATACAGGTTGACCATGCCAGATGGACCAACAGTGTGAATTAGGATTGGGGCTTTGGTCTTGCAGTGTTGGTTGGTCTAGAGACTGAGACTGCCATGTGGGCAATCAAGCAGTAAATTGGTCATGTCCCTGTAATGGAGCCCAAATAAGAATTCTACACACTAGGGCTTGGGGGAACTTCTCTCTGCATATTGTCCCATCAGTGTCATAAGGGTGATACATCCTGACTCCATGAGGAAAGAGCAATGGAATCTTGGTGTTTGGAACCATCCTGTACCCTGCCCTATGTCTCTTCCTCTGGCTGATTTTAACTGTATCCTTTCCCTGTAATAAGCTCTGTGAGTATAACAGCTTTCAATAAGTTGAATAATAGGTGAGCCTGGGGGTGGTATTAGGAACCCCCTGAACTTCAGTTGGTATCAGAAATCAGGGCAGTTTCGGGGACTATGACCTCAAATGTTGTAGTTTGGCTAAGTCGGGTGGTATGGTATGATCTTGTATCTCAATGAACAGTATTTTCCCAGTAGGAGAAATGATATAAAGTATGTTCATGGACCCCAGTTAAATTAAACTACAAATAAAAAATTACTAACCAAGAAAAAATTTTACAAGCTTGGAAATTAGCAAATACTTCCAAGTAACCCATGAGTCAAAAGAGAAATTGTAATATAATTTAGACATTGTTGAATTGAACACTAATGAAAAGAGTATAATATCTAAATTTGTGGGGTAATGTTAAAGTGTTATTTAGAGGAAACTTTATAGACTTAAATACTTACATTAGAAAAGGAGAAAGGCTGCAAATGATTGATAGATGTTGCAGAGATTGAAATAAGCATTGTAAACTATGTCAATAAACTTAAATATGTACAAGAAATTCCAAATATATAAAAATGTTTTCAGAGGAGATAGTTTAGAGGTTTCTGGATATAAAAGTTAATGTAAAAATCTATTGAATGTCTGAATACTATCTGCATACAAAAATCATTTTTAAAAAAGTTAATACTTTTAAGTATCATAAAAATATGAAATTCACATGAATAAATTCAACATAAAGGAGTGGAAGACCTCTACCATGAATACTATGGAACTTTTAGAAACATTAAAGAAAACCTAAATAAGCGAAGAGACATACCATGTTCATGGATTTGAACACGTAATAATGTAGAGGTGTCAGTTATCCCCAAATTGGATATATAGATTCAATGCAATATCAATTTTAAAATGCCACTTTTTCAAAAGTATGGAACTTGAAAAGCTGATTTATGAATTTACATCAGCCTGCAAAAAATGCATTCTTGAATAAGAACAAGATGGGAGAACTTGCTCTACTAGATATCAGGACTCATGATAAAACCACAGTGATTAAGATCATGTATTGGTTCAGGGATAGACAAGCAGATGTATGGGATGTAATAGAAAATCCAAAAAGAGACCTACATGTAAGTGGTAACTTGACATATGACATATGCAGATTGAAAAATCAGTGGGAATGAATTTTAAATGCATTAAAAGCGTGAATTTACATAACGCAATATCACTTTACACCCACTAGTCTGGCTAGAATAAAAACGTCAGATTATAGCAAGTGTTGACAAGGATGTGGAGAAATCAGAATTGTTATTCACTGCTGGTAAGAATTAGGTGAATTAGATGGTGTAGTCACTTTGGAAAATAGTCTGGCAGTTCCTCAAAAGAGTTACTATTTGACCTAGCAGCCCCACTCCGAGGTAAATGCCCAAGGTAAATGAGACTATATATCCACGCTAAACAGTATATAACTTTATAACAAGATTATAATAGCCATTAGGGGGGCACCCGGGTGGCTTAGTTGGTTAAGCATCTGACTCTTGCTCAGATCATAATCTCATGGTTCATGAGTAAAAACGATTGAAGTATACACATTAAACGAATGAATTGTATGGAGTGTGAATTAAATCTCAGTTGAAAAATACCTCTGGGGGGCGCCTGGGTGGCTCAGTTGGGTTAAGTGACCAACTCTTGGTTTCGGCTCAGGCCATGATCTCACAGTTTGTGAGTTCAAACCCCGTGTTGGGCTTTGCGCAGACAGTGTAGAGCCTGCTTGGGATTCTCTCTGCCCTTCCTCTGCTCATGTTCTCTCTCTTTCTCAAAATAAATAAACGTTATAAATAAAAAAGAAAAGTACCTCTAGTGGGCAAAAAAAAAAAACTGAGGAAAGGAGAAAATTTTTTCAAAAAATGGTGTTGGGATAATTGTTTATCCAGAAGAAAAAAGGAAAATAATTTCCTACATTGAACCATTCACACATATCAATTCCAGCTGGATTAAAAATCTGTGTACATTTTCAACTTTCTAAAAAACTTTTTAATGGTTATTTTTGAGAGAGAGAGAGTGCACGAGTAGGGGAGGGGCAGAGAGAGAGGGAGACACAGAATCCGAAGCAGGCTCCAGGCTCCGAGCCGTCAGTACAGAGCTTGACGTGGAGCTTGAACTCACAAACCGTGAGATCGTGACCTGAGCCAAAGTCGGACGCTCAACCGACTGAGCCACCCAGGCGCCCCTCAACTTTTTATTTTGAGATACTTATAGATTCACAGGAAGTTTAAAGAATACCACAGAGATCTCACAGACCCTTTCCCCACAGTGGTTACATCTTACCTAAGTACAGTACAATATCTAAACCAGGACGCTGACACCAATACAATGTGTGTGTTGTCTGTGCCAGTTGGTCAAATATAAATTTGTATGACCACTATGCTAATGAAGTTCCACCCTCTTTCTCCGTCCTGTTTTCCATCTCTTTAATTTTTTCATCTGTGTATAATCTTGCATGTTAATGGAATCATACAGTATATGACCTTAGGAGATTGGGTTTTCTCCACTCAGTATAGATTGTGACAGGTCCATGCGAGCTTCTGTGTATGTCAATAGCTCATTCCTCTTTGCTGCTGATTAGTATTTCATGAAATGGATGTACCACAGTTGAACCATCCATTTATTGAGAGACCTTTTGGTTATTCCCAGTTTTTGAGTTTTACATATGAAGCTGCCGTGAACAATGACGTACAGGTTTTTACGTGGACGTAAGTCTTCTTTTCTTTTTTTTTTTAATTTTTTAACGTTTATTTATTTTTGAGACAGAGACAGAGCATGAACGGGGGAGGGTCAGAGAGAGAGGGAGACACAGAATCTGAAACAGGCTCCAGGCTCCGAGCTGTCACCACAGAGCCCGACGCGGGGCTCGAACTCACGGACCGCGAGATCATGACCTGAGCCGAAGTCAGCCGCTTAACCGACTGAGCCACCCAGGCGCCCCAAGTCTTCTTTTCTTTTTAATTGAATTATAGTTGACTTACAATATTATATTAGTTCCAGGTGTACAGGACAGTGATTTGATGTTTGTATGCACTGCAAAATGATCACCATGGTAGATCGGATTACCATCCGTAACCGTAACCGTACAAAGTTATTAAATATTATAGACTCTATTCCCTGTGCTGCACATTACATCCCTGTGACTTATTTATTTTATAACTAGAAGTTTGTACCTCTTAATGTTTATTTATTTTTGAGAGAGAGAGAGAGAGACAGAGCATGAGCAGAGAAGGGACAGAGAAGAGAGAGGGAGGTATAGAATCTGAATTAGGAGCGTCAGCACAGAGCCTGACACGGGGCTCAAACTCACGAGCTGTGAGACCATGACCTGAGCCAAAGGTGGATGCTCAACCGACTGAGCCACCCAGGTGCCCCTCTGCTTGTGTGTTTTTAAACAAGCAAAAAGAGAAAGAAAGGGAAAAGAAAAGGAAAAGGCTCTTGCCAAAGGGCAAAACCGCGGAGCATTCTGGGGGCCTGCAGAGCGGTGCTGGTAAAACCCCGCCCTGCGGGCTCCTTGCAGAAACACCAAAGCAGAACACGGGAAATGCAAGGTGCTCTACAACTCCGCGCTACTGTTTCGCCACCGCCTGTACGCAGACCTGGAGACCGTCCTGTACCAAGTGCACCTCTTCAAGCCGCTGTCGCAGCTCATGAAGCACTCGGTGCTCTACGTCCGCAACACCGTTCCAGAGAAGACCTTCCAGGCCCTGACCAGGTGTGCCAGGCTGCCCTTGGTCCCTCCCTTGGGGGGCTGGGGGCTGAGGGGCCTCGTGGGGGGGCCCCTCCAGGGGCAGTTGTTGATACTCTTCATGCCCAAAGGAGTCCAACCAGGAGTGGAGCACAGTTCGGAGGGACCCCGAGCCGCCATGCCCCCCCCGAGTGGGTTTTGGAATCGCACTGGGGAAGGGAGGGTGGTTGACTTGAACAGGGGTCACATGATGCTCTCTGCTGCTCTTGGGGAATAATAGCCTAGAACAGCGTGAGCAGTGAGTGGGGGGGGGGGGTTAAAACCCCTTTTCCCAGTGAGTGATGAGGACCAGAACCAGATCCACCAGGCCTGCAGCAGTTGTCTCTACCAACTGGATGTTTGCTTTTGTTGGCTTCTTCCCCAGCGGCCTGTCCAGAAAGCCACCGTCAGAAAGGCATCCTCCAAAGATCTAGATCTTAAACAGGGCATGCCTTAATCTGTGCTCAACCCTGGGAAGCTGTGTGCTCCTCCAGCTGGGTTGAGCACGGCTCGTGCTCCAGGAGGACCTCCTCCCTTCACGTAGGGAACAGCCACTGCCCGGTAGCAGTGGGGCCGAACGAGGCACACCCAGTTTGGAAGCAGAGACGGAGAAAGCATAGTTCGGTGGGGCTCCTGGGACCCTGGCCAGCCTGTGCTGGGCTTCGTGGGGGCAGCGAAGGACCGTGGCTGGTTCTTTCGGGAGGTCAGGAAAGGCTGACCTTGAACGTCAGTGAGCGGGCATTCATCAGGTGGACAAGTCCTCTCACTGCCGTCTGGGGCAGGGGTACCGGCTGTCTCTTTACACCTTTAAAAGCAGCAACAGCCGTGGCCGAGACGTGGCGCCCAGCTGATTGAACGTATTAATGAAGGAGAGGGCAGAGGCAAGAGAGAGAGGAAGGGAGAGAGCCCGGACGCGGAGAAAGAGGACTTAGTCCTATTATTTCCCACTTCTCCACGCGCGAGTCTGCCTGAGGGGCTAGGCAGGGTAGCCCTGAAACAGTAGGCCGAAGCTGCAACTCAGGAAGGGTCGTGTGTGCAGTGGGCCTCAGGCTCATGGTGGGGAGATGCTGGGACATGGGTGTGTCCAGAGCCTTGGCAGTCAGTCAGAGGAGGCTGGACCCTGCCCTGTTGGAGACAGGAAGTAGCTGGGGTGAGGAGGTGTTAGGGAAAGGGAAGAAAACCGCTATTTATGAAGTGCTGGCTGCATCCTGGGCAGCTGCCCTCATTGTGGCTTTATTCCCATCTGCAAGGTCCCATGGTGGCCAGAGAGCTTAGCGGGTGAGAGGCAGAGCCTGCCATCCTCAGGCATGCCCCCTCGCAGTGGACCTTGGGAGTGTCAGAGACAGTGAGCAGCAAGTAACAGCTGCTATGTGTATGTTGTAGAACATCAGCGTCAGCCAAGTGCCCAAGGTGCACCGGCCCCCCCGGGAGAGGGCAGTGAGGAGGAGTCTCGTGGCGAGGTATTTGGGGGCCTGTCCTGAGCTTGTGATGAGGCTGTGTGTACTGCCTTCCTCCTGCGGCAGGAGCTCTGAGATCCACACCCCTGACCAGCTAGCTGGTTGGGGCTATACCCTGATGGGGCGCAGGTTGGTGACAGGTGTGGAATAAGGCCACAGCACAATCAGAGGGACTGTGGAAAGCCCTTAACTTCTGGGGGCTGGGAGGAGAGCGGAAAGGGGGCATTGGTTTTCAGGGGCCGGGAAAAGTGGAGTCTAAATCCCCATGCAAGGAGGTCTGTGATCTGGGACCAGCTGGCCAACCTCTGAGCTCCAGGTTGTGAAATGGGGCTGCTTTCTTCATCTTGAAAGGGGGTTAGAATGAGGCTGCTATGGGGGGCTTGCAAGCTTCAGGATCTACTGCATCTGCTATCACAGCAGCAAACTCAGGGAGGTGATCACAGGAGACCTGCTGCCATCCTCCGCCATGGTCAAAGACTTGAGCTGGCAAGAGTTGGCTGCCCATTTCGCGTTAGGCCTCAGAAAGTCGCTGTCTGCCAACTCCTCCACCCCCAATCTCGAGATCTCCAGGTCAGAACTGTCTTATGAGATCCAAGCCCACCAGGAGAAGTATCTGCAGTGGCGGAACACCATGGCACTAAAGAACAGAGGCCAGGAGCGCAGCCTGATCCAGGTGGGCACTCTCTCCTCCCCGGGACAGGGGTCCCAGGCCTTCGCCCCACCTGGGCTGTCCAGTCACCACGGGGACATAGGGTGACAGACCATGTTCCTGTGTCACTCTCCTGGACCCGGCAGAGGAAGAGTGCCGCTGGGGGCTGAACCAGGTCAGAAGCGTTCACTCCCAGCCGTCAGGTACCCATCATTCCTGAAAGTGAAAAGGAACGCTCTTAGGTGTTGTCACCTTTACCTTGGCCCCGGAGTTCACCTTGAAGGCTGGGTGCTAAGGAAAATCTCCCTCCCTCCACAGCCACCAAGAAGGCTTAAAACACTGACATCCAAGATATGACTTGAACTTGTCCGCCCACGGTCTGTGTGAAGCACCTCCCTCCCCCCAATCTCCAGGGAGACAAAAGTTCAGAAAGAAGTTTGTGAGCTTTGCAAGTGGATATTGTTTATGAAAACCAGCAAAGAGGTTGTCTTCCCATTTGTGTGGAGGTTTTTGGTTTTTTCAAAAGAACCAGTTCTTGGATTCATCAATCTGCTTTTTCTCTGGTCTGTTTTCTAATTAACGTCAGCTTTTATCTTTTATCATCTTTTAAAACTTTTTCTCTTCTTTCTAGCTTCTTTAAATTTTATTATTGAAGTATAATTGGCATATCGTTAGTAAGTGTAGTCACCATCTGTCACCAAAAAACATTATTACAGTATTATTGACCATGTTCCCCATGTTGTAATTTGAATCTCTGTGGCTTATTTATTTTATAATTGGTCATTTGTACCTCTTAATCCCTTTTATCTATTTCACCCATCCCTCCACTCAACATCCCCTCTGGAAACTACCAGTTTGTTTTCTGTTTTTAAGAGTCTATTTGTTTTTTGTTTGTTTGTTCATTTGCTTTATTTTTAGACTCTACATATAAGTGAAATCATACGGTATTCATCTTTCTCTGACTTCTTGTACTTAGCATTATATTCTCTAACCCCATCCGTGTTATTGCAAATGGCAAGATCTCATTCTTTTTTTATGGCTGAGTAATATCCCATTGTACATATATATCACATCTCCTTATCCATTAATCAGTTGATGGACACTTGGGCTGTTTCCCCATCTTGGCTATTGTAAATACTGCTGCAGTCAACATAGATGTGCATGTATCTTTTCAAATTAGTGTTTTCATTTTCTTTGAGTAAATACCCAGTAGTGGAATTACTGGATCATATGGTAGTCGTATTTTTAATTTTCTGAGGCACCTCCATACTGTTTTCCACAGTGGCTGCACCTTTCTAGCTTCTTGAGTTGACTATTTCATTCATTTTTATTCTTCCTTATTTAATAAGAAAGGCTACACATTTTCCTCTGTACACATCCTTGGCCACATTCTGTAAAGTGTTACATTTATTATATGTTGCGATTGTTATTTGCCTGAAATGTCTTAGAAATTTCAGAATAAAACAAGACCTAGATACAGTCCTAGAAAAAAGTCAAACCACTGAGACTATGAGCAGTCTTCCCTGACCCCCTTATTCTACCTTCTCAATGCATTTACACAGGTACACACTTGTGCACACATGCATTCACGTACACAAATGTATCACATTCATTTATGGGTTAACACTGTTTTGTTAATGCCATTTAACACAGGGCCTTGAAGATTTTATAAAAATATGCCTGTATAGAATTTTGTAATATGTTTGTACAATTAATATCTTCCTATCCTCTGTATTTTATTGAAACCACTTGGAAATATTGTTTCTATTATCTCAGTTATTGCTAATTTCAAATGGCCTTAAGTAGCTTATCCATGCTATAATCAATCATTGAAACCCAGCCATAACTTAATTTTTCTATTTTTAATCTAAGATATAATTTACATACCATAAAATTTAATCATTGTAAGTGTATATAAATCAGTAATTTTTAAGCAAATTTGTGGAGTTGTGTACAACACAATCCAGTTTTAGAACATTTCCATCCCCATAAAATTTTTCCCTATTGCTGTTTGAAGTCAATCCCTGTTACCACCTCCAGCCCCAGGTAACCACTGATCTACTTTTTGTCTCTACAGATTTGCCTTTTCTAGACATTTCATGTAAATGGAATCAGACAACACGTGACCTTTTGTGTCTGGCTTCTTTCACTGAGTATAATCTGAGGTTCATCCATGTCGCAGAATGTATCAATAGTTCCTTTTTAAAATTGATGAATAGTATTCCATTGATTGGATGTATCACATTGAAAGTTTTGTTTAATGTGTGTTTATTTATTTTGAGAGAGAGACAGCGAGCAGGGAGGGGCAGAGAGAGAGAGAGACAGAATCCCAAGCAGGCTCTCTGCTGTCAGCATGAAGTCTGATGCGGGGCTTGAACTCACGAACTGTGAGATCATGACCTGACCCCAAATCAAGAGTCAGATGCTTAACCAACTGAGCCACCCAGGCACCCATGGGTGTATCACATGTTTACTTATTCCCCACTTGGTGAAATTTGTATTGTTTCTAGTTTGGGACTCTTATGAATATCGCTGGTTTGAACATTTGCATACAGATCATTATGTGAAAATGTATTTTCATTTCTCTCAAGTAGAAACCTAGATAGAGAATTGCTGGGTCATGTGGTAAATTTAACATTTTAAGACATTTTCAAGCAGTTTGACAATGAAGTTGTACCATTTTACACCACAAAAAGCACTCCAAGAGTTGGTTTCTCCACATCCTCGCAAACACTTGTTACTGTCAGTCTTTTTTCATTTATTTATTTATTTATTTATTTATTTATTTATTTATTTATTTTTGAGAGAGAGCGAGGGCATGAGCTGGAGAGGGGCAGAGAGAGAGAGAGAAAGAGAGAGAGAGAATGCAAAGCAGGCTCCATACTACCAGTGTGGAGCCTGATGCCAGGTCAAATTGAATCCATGAACCGTGCGATCATGACCTGAGCTGAAATCAAGAGTCAGACACTTAACCAACTGAGTCACCCAGATACCCGTTGGATATCTCTTAATGTACTTATTAATGATTTATATATCTCTGGTAACTATTCGTATATTTTACATGTTTTAAAATCAGGTTGTTTTCTTGTTGAATTGTAAGAGATCTTTATTTTGGATATAGTTGCTTAATCAGAACTATGATTTGCAAATATTTTCTCTGTATATGTGGCTTGTCTCTTTCTTAATTGTGGTAGGAAAAACTCTTGACGTGTAAAGGCTTTTAATGTTGATGAATTCCAGTTTATCAGTGTCTTTGTCTTATTGATCATGCTTTTGGTGACATAGCTTAGGGCTCTGCTTAACCCAAGCTCACAAAGATTTTCTCCTGTGCTGCCTTCTAGAGGATTTGGAGTTTTGGCTTACTTTTAGACTTTAAAGCATCTTTACCAATTTTTTGTGTGCATGCATAATGGAAGGTAAGGGTCTAAATTCATCTTTTTTGCATGTGGATATCCAATCGTTCTAGCACTGCTTTTCAAAAAGATGAACTATCCCCGCACCGTCCCTAAGAATCCATTGATGAGAAATGCAAAGGTTTATTTCTAGGCTCTGTTATACTCCATTGACTTAGATGCCTGTCCTTACACGAGCCCCACATTATCTTGATTACTATAGCTTTACAGGCAGTTTTGAAAATGGGTTGTATAAAGTCTTTTAACTTCTTTTTCAAAATTGTTAGACTATTTTGGGTCCCTTGCATTTCTATATAATTTTAGGATCACCTTGCCAATTTATTAAAAAAAAAAACAACTTGTGGGTATTTTCCTGAGGCTTATATTGAATATGTAGATCAGTTTCGGGGAGAATTGCCATATTGACAGTTTTGAGGCTTGTAATTCATGAACATGGAACGTCTAGACCTCTTTTGGGTCTTCTGTAATACCCTTCAGTAAGCTCTGTAGCTGTCACACACAGGCCTTACACCTGATGAAATCTTTGCTGTTATGAGCTGAATTATTTAATTTTTGAATTGTTGCAATAACAGAAATACAGTTGGCTTCTGTATATTGATTTCGTATCCTGAAATCTTTGGAAACTGGATCATGTCATCCCTGGATAAAGATCTCTTTACTTCTTCCTTCCCAAGCTGGATACCCTTCCTTCCTGCATTAGTCTATGCAGATTGTCATATAGAACACAACGGTCAGGTGGCTTAAATGTCAGAAAGTGCTTTTCTCACAGTCCTGGGGGGTGGGAAGTCAGGATCAATATGCTGGTAGAGTAGATCTCATTCTGAGGCCTCTTCTCTTGGCTTATAGGTGGCTGCATCTCACTGTGTGCTCTTTTCTTTTTTTATTTAATGTTTATTTACTTTTGAGAGAGAGAGAGAGAGAGAGACAGAGTATGAGCAGGGGAGGGGCAGAGAGAGAGAGGGAGACACAGAATCCAAAGCAGGCTCCAGGCTCCGAGCTGTCAGCACAGAGCCTGATGCAGGGCTTGAACTCAGGAACCGTGAGATCACAACCTGAGCTGAATTCGGACACTCAACTGACTGAGCCACCCAGGGGCCCCTCTCTGTGGCTCTTCTTTGGCATGGGGAGAAAGACAGTGGGCTCCCTGGTTCCTCCTCTCATAAGGACATTAATCCTGTCAGATCAGAGTCCCCCCACTCTTACTTATCTAACCGTAATTACTTCCTTACCCAAATACAGCTACATTGGGGATTAGGGATTCAATGCATGAATGGGGTGTCGGGGGGCATTCATTCTATAATCCTCCCTTCGCTTCCCTTTGTACTGCCTACAACCTGTAGTATAAAGGTCAGTGTCAAATAGGAGCGGTAAGAGCAGACATGCTTGTTTTCTTCCTGATCTTGGGGAAAGCAATCTTTGACCATGGAGTTGGATATTAACTACAGGTTTGGGATACGCTTTATGAGGTTGAGGAAGTTTCCTTGTAGTCTTAGTGTGTTGAGAGTTTTCATCATGAATAAATGTTGGATTCTGTCAAATGCCTTCTTCCCCCTGCACATATTGTGGTTCTTGTCTTTTATTCATATGGTGTATGACGTTACTTGATGTTTG